AACCTTATTGGTTCTCTGGTCTGATTACAGGGATGGAAATTTACCCCCTGCGTCCAAGTTTCTTGGAGGTCATCCCTGAGCCCCTGTTGGCTGGTGTGTTGGCTGGAGTGTGCTTCTTGTTTGTGGCCATCGTCCTCTCTTTGGTAACAGCGTGCTATATGAGTCAGAGGAGACAGCGTCGGCGCAGAAAGAGAAGACAAGGTGAAACATCAGATTTAAGGACACAATTTCAACACAATTTCAACTGTGCTGTTTGAAATTTTAATCCTTCCTTTTCATCTTTCCTTAGATATCCCATCTGCCTTCCAGAAGAACTCATCTCCAGAGTAAGTGTCCTCATGTATATTTTCATTAAACATTTCTGCCTTCAAATCTTCATTTGCATTTTGATTTTAACAGCCAATGTAATGTATCTATCACTTATTTGTGGCTCTTTTGTAAAGCTTTAATGTTTTTGTAATCAATTCATCATTAATATAGCCATTGGTAGAATGTGGTTAAACACTAAAACCAATCTTTCTTCATACTACATAACTTTAGTAAATTATATACGTTATCTACTTTGCACCTTTAATATTTTTTTGTTAAAATCTGCATTACTATTAAGTTGTTTTAAGCTTTTTTTTCTTATCCATGTCTTCCTCAGCGCTCGCTCGCCTCCTCGCAGCCCAGACAGCGTCCTAAAGCTGAAGTTGTGTCCACCACTTCCCTTCTTCCCCAACTCCTCCTCCTCACAGTCCGATCGGGCGTCCTTCGATAAAGGCAGCCGCGGGGAATACCACGACCAGCGGAAACAACTCCTCTCCAACTCGTCTCCTCCACCACATTACACACTCTTTGAGAGTCACTTGGGGTCTCAGGCACCCTCACCAACTGCTCTGGAGTCCATCTCCAGAGGCCCAGATGGACGCTTCATTGTCCAACCTCTGCAAGTGGGTTCCAGTCCCTCCAATAGGAAAAACCTCAAGGACGACATCCTGCAAATTAATGGTGGGGCAAGTGGCTCAGGGAGCAACAGGACATCATTCAGGGACTCTCCAAAGTCAAGCGTTTTGAGCTCAGAGAAGGACGAGAGGAAGAATTCTCCTCTTACTGTGGACGTCCCAGAGCTGAGCAGACCTCCTTCCTCCCCTGGAAGAGTACGGGCCATGGCCAGAAACTTCTCCCGTCACGGCTGCTTTTACTCTGACGATGAACAAGGCTCAGAGGCCCTGCTGGAAAGAGCCAGCTTTTATTCAGACAACAGTGAGAAAAAACCCAGTGATTCTCTCAGGAGATATCGCAACACTGAAAATCTGTTCCCCACTTTGGGCAGGAAAACTAGGCTTCTGGATGGAGACAGACAACCACATACAGGCTACCAGCCTATGGAGAGTCAGTTGACTAATAACAGTACCCTGGTCTCACAACTTGACAGTGAGCTGGAGAGAGATAGTATTAACAAGTGTGTCCAATTGGCAAAGGAGAGGGAAAAAATGGAGAGGGAGCTGGAGAGCTACACAGCCGATCAGAGAAGTCGTGGTCGTGGAAGAGACGAGCGACAGTCTAATAAGACAGAAAGCCCTCAAAGGGACACACCCAAGTCAGAGGAAGAGCCGGTATGGAAGCCACAAGATGTTAACATCAGACAGAAACACAGGCCCTCGGGTCAGACAAATCGAGTTTCTGACTACCGGAAGGCGTGCTACTTTGGGAACACCAGCAGTCCCATGGACCGGCTCCCTACGTCTCGCATACAGTGGGACATTAGCCCTGTTACGTCCATCACCAGCCTCATTCCTGTACAGACCCCCCGGGGGACCACATCGCCCAGGTCACAGCATCCTCGCACACGTAGGGAGACCACAGAGGACTCTTTTGGTGTTGATTCATCATGCTCTCCAGTCACCCATAACACCTCCCTCTCCATGCTGTCCCCTGATGTCACCTCCGAAAGCCCCCCTGTCCTGTGTCTACAAACACCAGAAAGAGCCAGGTCATTGAGTCCTCAGACAGAGACAGATATATGCAGGAAGTCCATGACTGAGCAGGGTTTAAGGGAAAAGACACAAGACAGAGGTGTTACTTCAAGGTCCAGACACTCATATGCTTATGCAGGCACTTCAGCTGCCAGAGGTCCTTTGGTTGGCAGTAAGAGGCCTGAAAGTTCTCCCTCTGCTCCATATAATCATCCTGAGAGCACAGCCACAAGGGATCCCAGTCCATCAAGTTATTCTACCTTGCCCTATGAACATCATGAAGCACGAGTAAAGGCCAAAGAGAAAGAGTCTCAGGCCCGGGATGACCGACGGAGTTCAGGGTTTTACTCTGAGTTAGAGAGAGAGGGTGTGCGAACACGCTCCAGGAGGAGTGACAAATGTCTCTTCTCTGATAGTCCAAGCCCTATTTCAACATTGACTCTTGTAGAAGAGGTCGAAAGCGACCAGTCCCAGTTTTCTGTCCCTGGAATGTCAGGGTCCTTCAAGGCCAAACCTGCAGCTCCATCTCCCAAAATGTCCCCACTGGAGACAAGTGCAATTCTTGAATACCTGAGCCTTCCAGGTTTCATTGAAATGAGCGTGGATGAGCCTGTGGAAGACGCTGAAGCTACAGATGGTGCTGGACAAAGTTCAGAACTAAAACCAGAAAAATCCCCAGAGACTAAGCCTGATGTGGTTCCTAAAAACTGGGAGGTTCATGTTCAGGAAACCGTAGAAACAGACTCAAGCCAAAAGGTTTGCTTTAAAGAAACTCATTCAGCGGGTGCTGACAGGGAGTCCAGCTTTTATGCTAGCAACAAACAAGGCCATAAACACTCCCTTCACGGGGAAGGTAGAGATTCTTCACACAGAGTAAGATTCCCAGATGAGAGACCATTGTCACCTGGTCCAGAAAAAACTAGCAAGCAACTTTACGATGAGAAAACACAAATTCGACTTGGGAATAAAAACACAGACAGACCTGAATCCAGACTTGCATCCAGGTCTGCTCACACCTTGTTCAGTGCAGCTAAAGGCATGGCAGATATAGTGTCAAAGCACTCACACGGTTTTGTTGACAGTAGTGAGTCTTTATCAGAGCAATCCCAAAGACAAACTTCTCAGGGCAGCAGGACTAATAACATTGCATCACGTATATGTCAAGCCCCTGTGCCATTTCTAAAGAAATCCTTAAGCATGGGCCCTTGTAGGACCCTCTCAGGTTTGGGACAGCCTCGTCCTTTCCTAAAGAAATCCATCAGTTTAGGCTCACATAGGTGGGAGCACTTCGAGAGCCCGAGGACGTATATCTCTGAGAAATGTTACTGGGACGAGTTCCCAAACCCAGATGTCAGGATGAAGTCCTATAGTTTGGGTCACAGTCCCTCTTCCCTTCCCAGGCCCGGCCCCTCCTGGAGGGAGTATGTCCCCTTCAGACGCCCCAGCATGGGGAGCTTAGAGAGACCTCACCATGCACAAAGACCTTTAGCTAGTCCTTCCTACCTCACTCCTTCAATGTACCCACCCAGACAAACCTCACTCTCCCCGATGCTGGAACCCTCCGATCCACGACGGCAAGCCGCTGTTTTCCCAGAGTCCTCCAGGTGGTCTCCTTCTTATCAAGAAACCCTGAGATCTGCCCAGCATAAATATGTCCCCATGCCTTCCTCCATCCCTGTCCCCCAGTACCAACACTGGCCAGGATCCCGAGGGGAAAGCATGAGACCCGTGGACCCCAGGGGGGGCCCTCCGAGGTCTTACCTGCCCAGGGGCACCAGTTGGCCCTCGCCGTACTACGCCCCCTTCCCTCCCAGGGAGGTAGAGTGTTACAGACAGCCAGAAAGGATGATGGTGAGGAGAGGGGAGACAGAGATGCGGGAGGGCAGAGACATCAGGGAGGGAGGGAGGACCAGTTATGCCAGTCAGAGCAGTGGTAGAGGTAGCGCCGGTCTCTTCCGTCAGTCCCTGTCCATCACTCCCACACTGCTCAGCTCCCCCGAAACCACAGAGGAAAGCGAGCGGCACAGAGCTGAGACGGAGCTGCCTGAGAGGAGAGCGAAAAGGTGAAACGCCACCCACACCTGGCCAGTAACAACCAACACACTGGAGCGTCTCCTTGGCAGAGGGATTTATTTATGTTGCCAAAATAACTGATTTTGTTTGTTGTTTTTCTTTCTTGCCTGTGATAACTGTTATCTGACCACTGTTTCTGTGTATCTCGTTAGAAGGAACACATCAGTAGATGAGAGTTATGAGTGGGACTCTGCTGATGCCTGTGTGGACTCGGAGGTCCTGGAGGCCATGAGGTTTGATCAGTCAAAGACGGGTTTTCGGAAAGGCAAGGGGGAGCTCAGATATGATCAGGCTGGTGGCCTCCAGGACCAGCGACGGAAAGGTGATCACTTTTTCTCTTTGTTTATGATGTTGCATGTCTTTGTGAGTGTAATGCTTGATGTGATGCTGCATGTGTTCATCCCGTGCCCTTGTGCTGTTGTTGTGAGCTTGTCCCATGACGTGCCCATCCATGCATTTCCTCTCCCTGATGCCCTCCCCAGGCCCGTCTCCCTCAGTCAGCCCGCCAGTTTCCAACCAACCTCGCTGCCAGTACAGCCGCTCCCTAAGCGAGGCGCGTTTCAACGCTCTCCGCCAGGAGTACCAAGATTACAGGCGGGCTCAGGAATCCATCTGTTCCCGTGAGCCCTGCCTCACCCCTGGCCACGATTCAGACTCTGACTCCAACTCAGCACTGCTCTAGCAGCTTAACTCGGTCCGTTACTCTGCCTGCCCTCTCACCTCTCTCCTCTTTTTTTCCACCTTGCACTAGAGATGTTCCGATACCTGTGTGTATATAGTATAAGAAATTCCTCTGATACTGCATATTTTAGGCAGATTTGCCCACTCTGACTCTGACTGGCTTACCCTATATACCCATATTCTCACTGGACACTGGAAACTACTGTTTAAGAATGACGAAGAAGAGTTTATTTCTGGTAGTGTGGCGTTAGCCAGAACTAGCTAGACTGTCAAACTAGATAATAAAAGGAAGTTCTATGGCTTTTATTCTCTGAAATTTCAATCATGCAGGGGTAGTAGTATACAGTTTTCTTTTAAATGCACTTGTATCAGATCAGTACTCAGAATCGGCCGATATGTAAAGTTCAGGTATTGGAATCAGTATGAGGATGGTATCGGAACATCTCTGCCTCTCACTGCTCGTCCACCTGCGTCTTTTTTCTTGCCTGCTACTGTGTCATCCATGTGAAGTTATGTTGTGCATGCCAAAACCTCTGCTCCTCAGTGTACAGTTTTTACCCTTTAAGGACTTGTTTTCTAATGCTGCACTGCTCTTTGTCTTTCACAGGTATCTAAGACCGACACCAAATAGCAGTTTTAATGAACAGACGACAGCACTGTGGTCCCGGACACTGTCACAACCTCACTGGAGCTCTCTCATGTGAAAGAACCTATTGTTTAAGGTTTTTATTCTCTGTTACAGCAGACTAAAGTTAAACAATTTGAAGATACGCCATCAAATGCGACAGACTGCAACACCTCAGTTGTTATCAGATGACACATACTCTTTTTTTGTGTTTGTTACATTGTGCTTTGCACAGAAGGGATTATTTATTTTTCTAAAATACTCGTGCAACTGTATTTTGGGATTATTTTCTTTAACCTTGACAATCAGGCACACAGGGCTGCTTTGAGAAATGAAATGCTCCCCCTTGACGAAGACGTTTACAGTTGAGAGTTGCTTTATAAAAGCAGCAGCATGCTACATAATGAAGGTAGTATTTCAAGTCCATGTCCATTGCAAAGACTTCCCTTTAATAATTAATTAAAGGGATAATTACTACACTAATGACAATTATGTAGGTCTGTGTCCAAGATAACATCTGCTGGTGGAAATGTCTGTAGCCGTTATGTTGCCAATCAAACAGTGCTCAAAGCATTTTCACCATCATCTCCTACATATGACAAAGTACTTAAAATAGTAATAATTGTACTTAAAGATCAAATAATTAGGCAACTGTCAAACTCTAAACAATAATTAACTGTATTAAAGAGAAGAATTTATTTGTTATTTGCCACTGTGATTCCCCTGCTGGTTCCCTGAACTCGTTTCCTGTTTTATACATTTTATGTGTCACAATAATGCTCCCCTGTTGAGACTTTATAAATGAAACGACTTCAAATAGCTTCCCCCATATTTGTCCAAGTTGTACAAATGTTTATATGTACCTTAATGTGAATGAACCCTGCTGTTTTATTGTATATTCCACGTCATCAAATGCTACTTTACTCCACCTGAATCGGTCTAACCTCGCCTCTGTGATTAAATGATATATTCACACTTGATAAGAATAACAGGGAAGTGATTTTTGCCTTATTTTTTGTTGATGTCAGAAGCTCGCACTAGTTGATTGACCACAGACGGTTTGAGCTATAATCAAACAAAACTGATCAGAGGTTTAAAAAGGTTTTGCTCACGATGAGTACTTCTGTATATTTATTGAGGCGAGTTATGATATGCAACGATGTTTACAATTCACATCATTGATGTGAAGGCAACACTGTGAATATTTCACTGACTTCTGGTTCTGTATTTGAAGTCTTATGAATTTTGTGCCCTTTTGCCCTACTTTTTTTTGTTTTGTTTTGTTTTTTACAGAAAAATTACAAAAGCCGTTTTGTTTTTTTACATCACCTGACAAACAGATTTAAAGAATATCTTTGTAGCTACACTACAAGTTTCAAGATTTGTACTATATTTACTTAAATAACCCAGATGAGAAGCTTCATATGGAGTGAGTATGCATTTCTGATGATGGTTTTGGAAGTTTTGTACAAAATGGAAATTTTTATATCTTACCACCTGGTTGTTTTTGTCATTTTTATATGTTTGTAATAAATAAATTGTTTTATTCTGAATGGAGACTGAGCGGATGTGTTGTTTGCTTTTTTTGTCCTTTGAGGGAAAACAGTGAAGACAGTTGCTCTTTAACTTAATGAAGTTAGCTCGTTAACTTAATTTTCTGAGCAGGCCCGCGCCTCAACCACACCTGTAATCACCTGTCAAGTCAACTTAAATCTGGTGAACCCATCCTCTCCTTTTGCCTCAGTTCTTATTTTTATGGAACAAAATATACACACAGAGTGCACAACAGATTTTACACAGATTAACACATTTTGTTTATATAATACAAACAGTATAAATATTTAGATATAATCAGTAATAGATACAATCACAAGACTTATGTTTCTGATCTGGACTGTGATTCCACTGAACTCCAGGTGTCACTGTGGGTTGTCTCCTGGGTCCAACCAGAAGACTCCAGAGAAATGGAGATCTGTGACCTTTGGTCGCTGATCTCGCAGCCAATCCACTTTATATTTATTTTGGATAAGATGGCAAAGCTGAGAGCCGCTGGACTCGGAGTGCAGGAATCCAGCGGCCGTCTGCAGACTAATATCTCAGGACATGGAAACATGGGAGTGGCAACAGACAGATAACCCTCTTGGGGAGCTTAACAGAAGCTTTGCACTTACTCTGTAGTAGTTACAGAAATACAGCTGATCTGCAATATCAGGGTCAGGACATTCAAATATTAGATTCAGCTTAGAGGAACAAAGTCTGCTCACTGTGAGGAAAAAGATGCATCCTATTTTACAGTAAACAAGCAAGTGCAGTGAACTGATGCATGAAAGCAAGTTACATTAACTTTAAGAGGTTACATACAGAAACTACAACATATTACAATTACATTAGTTGATTCCTTTATATCATTGTCTCAAATTGCTATATAGTAGCATATGTTTCACATAGTCCAGGCCCTCTTGTTGTGTTTTTTTTTTTTTTTTGTTACTCCAAAGGTCACTGATGTAAAAAGAAGTTAAAGATTTAAAGATTTAAGGCAGCCAACACTCAGCTCAACCCTCAAGACAACTGTTTGTTGCTTCAAGATGAAGAGTGACAACGAGAACTCTGGTGAGATATTTATTCTTTGTCTTCAGCCTTTACAGAGAACTTTATAGCTTATTTACAGTACTGCTTGTAATGTCAATAAGGTCCTGTGATAACCACAATTTGTCAATTTGCCAAAATTAAAGTTTTTATGTTATTTCTAAACTAAATACTAAGAATAAGTAATGAGTGACAATTTATATTTTTTAGTTGTTGTCAACAAAACAGATAATTCATGCCAAAGATATGTTAATTTGGTATAAAAACAGCTCTTACAGTTCAGTTTTTAATGTATCATTAAAACATCCATATTTAAATTTTTTTCAAGAGCTACTGGGAGCCACTATTCTGCCCATTAAATTTTCACTACTGCTAAAAATCTGTGAGATACAAATCAGAAATTAGGTCTTTTCTTGTCACTTGTAAGAGCTGTAAAACAGATGATTGCAAATGAAGACTTGAAATGTAGGCGTAAATAAGGATTTATGACAGAACAGGGTAGCAGGCTGGCGTTTTACCAAACGGGAGATAAACTTTGCAGTAATTTCACACATTTTCACAACCTTTTCCACCTAGGAAAAGCGACATTTGCAGTGCAAGAAGAGGATATGATATGAGTACAAACGTGGTAACAGCAATGTGGCTGAACAACAAACAATTTTACTTGATCTAATGGAAAAATCCTAATCAAGGAGAACGATAAGAAGACCTGGAACGGCGAGTTGATGATATTGAACAATATTCATATAAACAACTTGATCGTCAGCAAAAAAAGAAACCACTGAATTTGTGTCGGACTACAGCTGGAAGAAAGTGAAAGTTCCCCACCAATCTACAAGAAGATACTGTATCAAGTCACGTTGTGCCTCGCCTAGACCTACACGTGTGTATGTAGGTGCAGTACCAGCAGTAATATAAGAGTGTATAAGAGTGACAAAGTCCGTGTTTGGAGGAGGTGGAAGAAACACAGGACTTTGTCACCTGGGAGACAGCTGTTTGAGTCCCGTGTGAAACCACAAGTCAATGTCAGGTATGTGCTTAATAGAGTATAATCTTTTTCTAAACCTAACTAAACTTCATAAATAAAAGGATTTTTAACTCCAATTGACAATGAAGACTGCAGTGGAAGTATTTATAGATCTTAAAAAAGCGTTGATCATTTATATGACGAAGCTAGTAAGCGTGGTATTAGAGGGGTAATACTCTCCTGCAAACATGGCTAACTGTGTTTTTGTTTCTTTGCAGTTGAGTCAGAGAGTTCACATTGGTGCGGCCTGTGCTGCCTCGGCCCTCTGACCTTCCACGGTCAGGCTGTGGGAGATCAGATCTGCCTGAGTCACAGAGATCGGCTCGCAGAGAGGAGGGAGTCCACTTTCAAAAATGGCCTGGTGTTCAGCAGCCGCCCAGTGAATATCCGGGAGAGGATTCGTCTGAGGGTGCAGAAGGATTTGTTTACCTGGCATGGAGCTCTGCGTTTGGGCTTCACCAACATCCCACCTTCAGACAGACCTCTGCCTCTGCCCACCATAACCATCCCAAACCTCACTGACACACATGGACACTGGTCTGCTCCTGTGCCTGAATCCTACTGCCATGCAGGTTCAGAGCTGGAGTTCTGGGTTTCTAATGGAGGCAACATATACATTGCTAACGAAAGCTTCGGGCAGCGCAAGATATTTACAGGAGTGGATCTCAGGCACCGCTGTGGGCGGATGGTAGACACTACGGACAGACGTTGCTCCGTGTTTACTCCTTGGGTCAGTTTAGCTTGTAAATAACAATGATGGGTGTTCTTACAGTAATTTGAGGGCCAGGACATTTCACCTGCACTGATAAATTCAAGTAATGTTTGGAATTACTGTTAGAAATAGATTAATGATTAAATGCCTCTACTCTTTGCTACAGGCTCAGAGAAACGAGGACTGCCCTCAAACTAAGACGGTCCATGTCCTGCACCTGATGACCTCCCTGCACCAACGTTGACAACCACTACAGTTTGATTCCTGATGGATACAGTGATAAAAGCATGTCCCGGTTCTTGACATGGATCTAGCAGGTGAGGAACGAGTTCCTCCAACTTATTAATTATCTGATTTCATTTTGAGCCAGAGAGGATGACTGATGTAAAAATCAGTGAGATCAGGTCGTAGGAGTGTTTGTTATGGCTCGCTCTGATGTCAGTCTTGTAATTGTGATTTCTCTGTTTTGATCACAGATGAAGACAGTGTTACGGTCTGTGTGGTGTGCATGGGAAGAGAGGCCAGAATCACTCTGCCTTGTGGTCACCGGTGTCTGTGTAACCACTGCGCCTCAAAATTCATCCATCAGTGCGGCAGCTGCCCGCTGTGCCGACACGAGATCCTAGCTCCATTAGTGGGGATGGGGAGGTCTGTCTCTGGGGTTGTCTAAGCTAAGTTTAGAAGAATCCATGCAGGAATCACCAGATAAAAGCTACTGAGTGACTGTAACAAAGATAACACTAAGAGTAAACCCTGGTGGAGGAGGTTTACCGTATGGTCACAGTGTCGCCGATTAAAGCCCAGCCAGGAAACGTATTATCTTATTGAAGATATTGAGCGTGTGTGATATGATATTCTCTTTTCTATAATTCTACTTGTGTGTGTGTGTGTGTGTGTGTGTGTGTGTGTGTGGTTCCTAAATGTCTGTGCTTTAGGCCTGTTGTGGACAGCTGACTTCCAATGATTTTCATGTTCTTCATATTCTGCGTGTTGGCCAGTTTGCTTATTTAGATATTTCAAAAATGCAAGAGGAGATCAACTTATTCCCAAAAGAACCTGAAATAGGGAATAAACCCAGGAAAAATGGGAGTGTTTGTCAAGTATGTCATGGTCGTGCTATTGGAAAAATCACCAGTCAGTACTTTTTATCCTCTGGGGACCATCAGTGTTTGTTGTCATCCATCCATCCAACCATCCATCAAATTGTTGCTGAGATATTTCAATCTGGACCGAAGTGGTTGACCAACTGCGTGATGGACCAACAGTGCCATCCACTGAGTCTCTGCACATGTAATCATGTTTAGTTTCAATGTTTTGACCTCTCTGTAAACACTATAGCCTGATTGCTCCCCAAGGTGTTACAAATGTAACATATAAACAAGTGTTTATGGAGTTTATGAGACAAAGTAAAACTAGAAAGCTTCTGAGAGAAGCAGATGATCCCGTGGAGATTTTTTAGGGAAAGAACAAACTGGACCTGTGGGTGAATTAGCAGAGGGTTGCTAATCTGTAACAGCCAGAAAGGCTAAAGCAGATACCTTTGAAGGGGGGTAGATGAGAATGAAACCAGACAAGGATGTGGGGGGAGCACAAACAGAAAAAAAAGTGATATATGACCGCTCCAAGGTAAAAAAAGGGTGAGAGCAGCTTCTCATCTGCAACCAATCTTCGTCTTGTGTACCATTCTCGAAGTGTTAATAAAAGTGTGAAAACACTGTAAGAGATTTTCCTCTTCTTTCTCTTTGTCAGAGTTAAAAAAATTTCCAATATTTCAACATACTGTAAATACTGAGTCATCCGTCTGGAGGGGGGCGAGTCACAGGTGGTTCACTTCGGCAAGCAGCAGCAACAAACAGTGCACAACATCGCCAGTAATTGTCCATACATTTCCGTTTATTTCAAAGATTCTGGGGAGAGATCGGACATCTTAGGATTTTTTGTTTCAGTCAGTGAATTTGAGAGAATAAGGAGAGAACATACAAGGTGTAGATCCTCACTGGTTAAGCCTAAATGAGACCAAAGAAACAATAATTTTGTGAATCTTGTTTGTAGATTATGTGGTGCAGTGTACTGTTTTTGTGTTTTTATCATGACTCCAGAACTGTAAACTATAAACCGCTGATCCTACAGTTTACACGGTCAGTGTTAGCTCTGATTGAATTTTTGGTTGACTGTGAGGACAATTGCTTCCTCCGTGCCTTTCATGATCAAAAAATTATGTCTCCAGTTTGAAACATGGGTCAAGATAAACACATAGTGACCTATATGCCCCTAAGATATGCAGCTCTGTATACGTTATCTGCACTAATATACATGTTTGCCTATATAAACCAATACCATCAATTACACACGACAAGCTGTTTGCTCTTTAACTAAAGCATTTATATTTTTTCAGGTAAGAATTCATCGCAGTACAGAGAGGTGTACAGTATATGCTGCACATAAAACACCAACTTCCTCTATTTCTTTTTCCAGACTTGTCACATTACTTGGATGACATACGCATGACATGTTTGACCATATTTCCAATGCCATCGAAAATATAGTGATAGTGATACTCGGTTTCCCACATGAAGGTAGGAGTGCTGACCACCTTGTTCTTCTCGTCCACATAGGCTTCGTGAAAGAGAGGGTTAAGGTCAACGCAGGAGCAAAAAACAATAAATAAATGCATATAAATCTGTTATTGATTAAGTTAACTAACACTAATCGTAAAAAATAGACCTCTGAAAGGATATATATGGCTCGCGGCCATTGTGGCGGGCGCCCATGCTCTTCACGGCCTGCACCATGTTCGTGTGAGGCCAGTTGCCCCAGCGAGTGTTCTCGTCCCGCTCGTAGCCCATGGTCACCTCGATGTTGGGCAGCACACGGCAGGCCAACACAGGAGCCATGCTGGCCAATCTGAAACGGGAGTCAGTTGAGGTTTTTTTATTAAATCAAGATTAAGAAACTGATCAGGGTGTGAGAATAATTGCCTTACCAGTGTCAGATAGGTGAGATGTAAAGATAGAGGAAGAATCTTCCAACATAAAGCACTGGGATATCAGTGTGAAGCCCAGTGTGTACTGTACTACAGTGTGTATAAAACTACTTTCACTGACCAGAAGATGAGTATGAGGCAATATTACAGACTGTCAGCTGTTTATTATCACCATTGGTCCCATTAATGAAACCATGGGAGAATATCTATCTAACAATCTGAAGCCTAAACCAGGTAACATACACCTGTACAAGGCATTTCATGAATTTTTCCTACAGTCTTACACTTGGTTTTTACTTTAAGTCAGAAGGATCCCAATAATCGTACCTGCTGCTACTACTACAAAACCTTATGTGCCCACAGGATCAGTCATTTCTACATTTGCCATTCATTGTCATGTAAGCAGCCATGCAATGCATCCTCATTTGCATAAAGTAGAGGTCTAGGCTACTGAGACCTGCTGCCTCTGGAAACTCCTGAAAAACGTTTAAACTAACCGTTATTAATCTAAAATAAAGACAGATTCAGCAACTGGATGTGCATGGTAGCAACTGTGGTACCATGATGGTATGTGTCCACAGAGGGGGGTTTTGTACGATGTTGCACGGTTTCCCAACTTTGGACGCTTGTGGTCATATTAGCCAACAAAAGGCTACACCTTCCTACACTTCCTGGCTGCAACTGATTGGACAAACCCTTCCTGCTCTGGGGGTTTCAAACTGGACCAACATGGCGGCTCTTTTGGAAACGTTCTCTCATACTAGAGTTCACCGAAATGAGCCATTCAATTACTGAAATTGTCTTATCTTAAGACCTGACTGATATCTCTCATTCTGCTGATGATTTTATTTGATAGTAAAAACAGGAAACATGGAGGGAGAGGAGACACAGGCTCCAGATTGTAGCAGGGCTGAGGGAGAAAACATTTATACCTTCGTCATCCTTACAAAGACACGTAGTTTGGTGGCCTCACATTATTCCCTGCACAGCTCCTACCAACTTGAACCTGAGCACAGGTCCAATCAGCCAAAGTGGAAACACCTGTGTGGGAGTGCTGTGGCTTTAAAGATATGCAGGTGCTAGTTTGTGCTTATACTTTTTACTATTTATTGAAGATATCGTGCCAACAACAGTCTGGTCACAACTTGTAGTCTACATGAGGGAATTGTGTAGATTTTGCTGTGCATGTTTGCATGTCAACAACAGGCCTTTTTTTCTAATTTTGTGGGCATTTTTTATTTAACTATTCTTAGAAGAAAACATGCACCAGCAGTAAGGACTCGGCCTTAAAGCATGGGGCGAGTGCTCTACCAGGTGATCTACCCAGCAATGTTTTGACTGTCGTAACTTAACTTTAATGAAGGCTCTGTTTTATTCAGGTATCCCTGTAAAGTGGTTACCAACCTAGGGGTCAGGGCCCCCACTAGGGTTCGCCAAAGCTACATGGAGGGGTTGCGAGGCCTCCTTGATTTTAAGCAGTGCTACAAAACTAAATTAAAATATACACAGTAGGCCTATATCTCTGCATTTGGTTCACTCCTGTGAAGAAAAGTAAATGTAAATTGTTATTATTATAAATTTAAGGAATAGCTGTAATTCACAGTTAGAGATTCTCAGTACATCAGTGAGTAATCAAGCTCACATATCGCTGTTAATGGAATTTAACCCCGACTTTAAAGGCGCTTTATTTAAGAGCCAGTCTAAAACCACAGTCCACTTCTTATAGTGCAACTGTGACTCGTGATCTGCAGCGTTGCTTCAGTGAAACTCTGGATGATTCGTGCAGTATAGCGGGAACAACGCTGCTTAAGTTATACAATACCAGTACACAGGAAGAATGATTAACTTTTTGGCCTGTTACAGCAACAGAACTGGGCATAGTATCAGTTAAATAGTAATCTGTGTCTTCCACATATTCAAATAATCACTGATATAACCACAAATATGGTTAATAAAGGCTGCTCATTAAAAGACACTCACTAACCCAGTTTACACTCTCAATTCCTCACTTATATTTTAAGAGTAAATAGGCCACTGACACCATTATTAAAGCATATATGTCGAGGACCTCAACATACAGCTAAGTTCAACTATTTCTCATGAGAAATGCATCCTGCTTTTTTTAATCAGAGTGAGCAATTTCTGAGACTCTCAAAGGGAAATTTGCAAAAGGTCTACTGGGGATTGAATTCAGCACAGTCTGTGATAATAAAGAGCAATCGTCTGCCTGAAGCACTTCACAGACACTGAACATCACCTCCAACTCAACTGCACCTTTCCAAAGCCACACAGATACATAGTAATATCTGCCTCTAACCCTGTAAGTCAACATGTCTCAGTGTTTGCTTATAAAGCTAACAAAATCCAACTTATTTCAGGTTAATTTTGAGGTAAGGCTACATGGAATTGATTTATGTTCTACTACTAAATCAAACAAGCGTGAAACACTGCTAAATCCCTGAGGGCACAGCTGCAGCTGGAGGGTTTATACTGCGGAGGAGCTGCAGATAAGTGTTAAAGTTTGCCACCGGGGGGCTAAATCATGGTCTAATTCTAAATTTACACTCGTTTTGTCGAAAGATCAGGACACCAATTACAACTCTGACAAACCAGAACAATGGAGAGGGGCTGTGTGTGGAAGCAGTGAGGCTCCAGCAACATGTGAATCACCGTGTGATACAGACTCCTACAATACCCACTCTGCATATCTTTTTATGGCCTTTGTCATGGAATTATCCTCAATGGATCAAACTCTTTATAGCCCTCAATGTCAATGGGGAAGGATTACACCTTATCCTTTTTAAAGGTGAAAACTTGACATACCCTTTTAACTCTGTGGTGTCATACTATGGGCTGCTTTATCCTCTTCCTCCTCTGCCTGCCTCCAACTCCACTCTTTAATTCCTGTAATCCTGCATCTTGTCATCTCAGACCTGCCATTCTGCACCTGGCCTTCCGCTACCTCCTCACCTGACCTTGCACAGTTGCCCAATCGCCAACGCATCCATCCACGTGTGCCATCGTAGTAGCCAAAGGATCACTGGCTACCAGATCAGCTGAGCCTTCATTCTGTCCGGTCTGCTTTAAAGGATTTGCCCCGGTCCGACTGCCTTCATCAAGCTTTTCCTCTTTAGAGAGCAAAGACTGTTTATGCCACACCTGCTCCTCCTGCTGCGTCTGCTGTGGTCAGTCACAGCCAAAGTTGAGACTAGATAAATCATCTTAAACTGTGCATCAACTTGCATGAGAAAGTGATGTTAAAAGCACATTTCCCCCCCATCATTACTTAAGACTTTTAATGCTAAGCAGGTTTTCATTTAATTTTCAGTTGAACTTGAAGCATTTTATGTTTATGTGGTAAAAGTACAAATTCCAGGAAATGCAAATAAAATTCAGATAATAAGACTTTATGTTGTCTAGTTTCTCATGTTTATGCCTTTATATTTGTATTTTGTCTCCCAATGTAAAGCACATTGAGTTTACATATAATTAAATGTGCTGTATAAATAAAATGTCCATTACTACTACTGCTACTAATGGTAATAATAACTTATGTCAGTAATAGGATATATTTTTTCCAAACTTCATGACAAAGTCTGCAACATTTCTATGCAAGATCTGTCAATAAATACTTTATTTCTATTTATCAACTTCTATAAACAGCTCAGTCTTCATTGTCTGACTTTTTTCCTCTCAAAAGCTGCTCCAATGTCCCAATTCCATTACAGGGATCTTTTAAATCTGGTGTATTTATCTAGTGGAATGTAATCTAATGTAATCTGATTTAAAGTGGTACGAATCCGTGTCAGTCTGCAATTTCGCCTGCAAACACGTTTGGATTTAAAATGTGAAATTTAAGTGATTCTACAGCCCAAAAAATACCAATACATATATATACATATATATAATATATAATATATAATACAAAAGCCACAATGTCACACACTGCTGCGTAATACTTGAACATCTGAAGTTATGAATACATACCCAATAGGCTTGCGTGAACGGTGGAAGTCTTTAAGCACCCTTTCCACATCACTGTGCAGCTTGCAGTCTTTGCCATCCTTAACAAAAGAGGATCTAAAGAGTTGAAAGGTATATAATAACATCAGTGCTCCATCTTCATCATGCCAGCTTTTTATTGTACATCATTTTACTACACAGTCTCAAAGTGATTACACCATATTTCATTATCCCTTACAGGTTCTTGGTGACGCCGTGTCCTCCAGGAAAGATGACAGCATCAAAGCTGTTAGCGTCCAACTTGGCCAGGTCTTGCATTTGCATCTGTCCTTGACCATGACTGAAGCGAGCCGCCTCCATCATCATGTTCCTATGTAATGGCCAGAAATAATCATAAATACTACCTTTATGGAATTAGTCAAGTCAGGTGTATAGTATATATACTGTGTGTATATACACATACAAAGTGAAACCCTGATCCTAATCCACCTCAAAAGTGCATCAGTGTTTCCAAACAAGCCTACCGGTTCTCGCCAGAGGAAGGCTGCTTCCTCATGTGGTCCATCACATGCATCTGCTGCTGATTTGGAGCAAACATCTGGAAGCGAGCACCGTTGCGGCTCAGGTGGTACATGGTGCTGCAGAGAGAGTGATCAATTACTACCTCTATCTCTGCACAGTGACACATGTTCATGCAATGGTGTGACGATTCCTGTCCTGAGCTCTGCAGGAGTGATACTCACTATACACCCTCATGGACATCAGTCCCATCCCACCAGCCACAGCCTGAGAAAACCTGGAATACATTGTGATTCACTGATCACAATAAAGCCCACACTAATTACTTTGTTTGTTTTCACTGACCCCAGATTGTTTCACTTACCACTGCAATATTGGTGTTTCCCCAGTTGCCATAGTCACCGTGGTGAACAAAGCAGGCAGGCTGGCGAGAAAGCACAGCCAGTGTTTGTTTAGACAGCAAAGTCCTTGTTGCCATCATGATTTAGCTTTAGTCTCACTGTTTAAGGAGGAAAATATGACTCAACAGTTTGCCACTGCAAAGACTTTTGGTTGTAACGTTGAACTCGCCGTCTGTATATATACCACTCAGAGTTTGGCCAAGTGACGTTACCACGTAAGCTCCATCTTCTGAGAAGAGCCATCGCTTCTTTGCCTTGTATGACCTATTCCCCTCCTGAACACCGTACCCTATTAATACCTTGTTTATTCATCTGATTACCTTAAGTCATTTGGCCACCGTGTGAAACTTCAGCTTTGGAGAGTAATCTAAACATGTAGCGCTTTAACCCGTGAAATATCTCGACCCCATTATGAGTTAACTTTTAGTAAGGTATCAAGATGGAGAAACCTGCAGAAATAACACAACATGTCTTTTAAAATATATTTTTTATGTTAAAAGGAGGTAGATTTACTTTTATACAGCAGTCTGCATCCGGGGTGCAGTTTCTGAAAATGCTTCCTGTATTTCTGTGAGGTAGCAGTGGATGCAATGCCTTTATGCAGTACGAGGCATACTGTATGCCCTTTAAAGTCCATTAGGTTGTAAGGCTCTTACCCCATGTAATGCCGTGTTGCGTCTAGACAGTAAACCCGGAAATACCTCGGTCAGACTCAAAATGTCAAAGTCAATATATTGTTACATTAAAACTTGCAGCTCCGACCTATAGGCTGCTTTCTGTGGAAGACATTTGTAAAGTTACAGATGACAAATGTGAGGCAAAATATGGCATTTGTTTTATTATGTCCACTTTTTATGTATAAACAATCAATATTTACATACTGGTGATGAAAGTATAGCGACAATTTGAGGAACAAAATGCAGAAATGGAGGAAACAGAACAATACAATCAACTAGTGTAACCACATCAATCACAACTTTAAGCCTCAGCCGGAACCTTAACAGATGCTCTCTTAAAGATTCTGCCTGATGGTTTAAAATTTGCACACGAAAAGAACTCATGCATAGAAAACACATACTCAAACTGTCACATATGGAAATCACAAAATACAAATAAAAAGGTTTCTTTTTCTTTTTTTTTCAAATCAAATACAAGAAACATGACGCAACCAACGTATGCGACGGACGAGGTTCCTGTTACTAAATGTCAGTTATTGTGAAACATACATTCTCAGTTTCTCCGTGGCTGCTAGCTCTCGACACATAACACACTGCCATGAACCTCTTTTAAAACACCACAAAGAACGGTTTCACATTTTAAAATTTCCAGATGTTATTTTCAAGTACAAATGTGATTAAATAAGACTAAACCAGTGACAGATGTCTACAAAGCGAAAGAAAGAAAGAAAGAAAGAAAGAAAGAAAGAAAGAAAGAAAGAAAGAAAGACAGACACAGCACAGACGGCTAAATAATAAATAATAAGGTCAATTTGATATTTTATATAAAAGAAATATAGTCTAAAACTTCTCAGTGTATTTCGCCATTTCTGATGTCTCCGTAAAATAAAACCATACACATGGCAAGCTTATCAAAAATTACATCAAAATGATGCTTCACAAAGCTCGATCCACGTCCAACCCAGACCAATACACTCGCTGACAATCTGCCGACAGCCCGGCTTCAATAATTGGCACTGATCGGGCTGCGGCCGTTTTCATCTATTACTTGTGATGAGCCATGTTGAGCACTCCTCGCAGTTTAGTTTGCTTCACATGTAAGAACCAAATCCTAAAAGCCATTTACATGCAAATCACTAACAACCTCAGTGGTGAGTGTAAGAATCATCTCCTAAATTTCTGCCACCACTAAAGAAAGCTTTTCATGCACCCAAGCACTGTCATTAAAGGAGTTTGCGCACTAACTGTGCACATCGCCGTGTTCGTTATGGAGAGTATTTGCAAAGATATCCATTTGATAAAGAGTGGGGGGGGGTTTTTTTGCTCATCAAGCCAATAGCCGTGCTGAGAGAGAAGCGTGTGTTAACAAGGCCAGTCTGGCGGCATTAGGGCGTGTAGGCAGGCGGCGGCTGAAACTGATTGGCAATGTCATAATCAGCAGGAAAAGTTTCGCTGCTGTCCTCCATCTCCGAGAGCAGCTCTAAAGCCTGCTCCTCCTCCTCGGTGGGGTAGTGGCGCAGGAGGTTCGCGGCTGTGGCGAGGATAGAGGCTCCGCCGGCCCCCGCCACCAGGTAGAAGCTGATGGCGAAAGTGACGTATATGAGAGAGCCGTGGTACTTTTTGTGCTGCTGCTGTAGTGACAGGATGAGCTCCGAGGCCCAGTAGCAGAAGCCTATGACTGTGGCACACTGCAGCACTGAAAGAGGAGGAGAAAACAATTAGGTACTCCCGAAAAGAGCTCCAGTGGGTGTTTGATATTCGAAACAGATGCACATTTCCGGTAAACATTTAAATCTTTGTGTCGACATTTAGAATAACCAGCGATGGCGTGAACATTTGCTGGAGTATTTCCATTTTATGCTACTTTAAACTCCAACTCAACTACGTTTAAGAGGCAAATATTGTACTTTTTCTACTCCTCTACGTGTATTTAATGACTTTACAGATTCATATTATTAATAAAAAGCATAAATAAACTAATAAATTATGACCTATTGTTATAGATTAAGCTACCCAGCAGTGTAAAGTAACATTCAACACCGATAGCAATCGTACAGAGTTAGTGGTATGTTAAATAATAATAATAATATACTCAAAGTGCAGGTATCAGAACAGAGAAAACGGTATCAGACTGTCGTTTATTTCATCGGCTATCAGACACACAACAGATAATAATCGATCAGATGTTTCCTGATGAATACCTGTGAGAATGTGAGCAAATGCATATCTGCGTGTGATCTTCAGCGCGGGGTGCTTGGGGCCAAACACATCCAGGAGGAAAGCCGTCAGACTGCAGAGGATGCCCAGGAAGCAGAAGGCAGCGATCACCCTCAGCAGCAGGATGGTCTGCGGGTTCACACAGTAATCTGGAAAGGAGACAACACGAAGCGTCACAGGTGAGCCACCACATTAATCTACGGGGACGAGGAGGTTTACTGACAGATTAATGATTAAATAACATGAAAATAACTCATATAATGTCTTCTTATTGCTCTTTACAGCTCTTATCGTGTTAGTTAACAGTATAATGTTATTTAATGCTTCAGTT